TTTTTCTGGTCTTCTTATTTCCCGAATCCAGAGTTTTCACCATTTTGCTGTAGCTAAAAGCGTCTTCGAAAATGAGCGATTTTACAGCAACCCTGTGATATTTCAACTTCACTTTACCTCCGTTGTCTGACTAGTGACTGGTGCTAATGACTTATTTAATGTCAAAAGTTTGCCCAACGCATGGTGGGAGGAGAGTGGAGGCCCAAAGTACAAACATCGTGGAGGAGCGCATTCATTGCGTGAGAGGCGAAGTACTTGCCTCTTGTATGGGGGCGGCTAGCTGAAGAACCTCGACGCCGTAGGTGTTTGCTCTGATCCCTGCATTTAATGCTACGATAGACATCCCAGTAGATCCTCCAGTTGTACTTGGCTTCATTTTATTACTCAAATGATTTTAATTAGCTTTCCTGTGGGTCAATACTACTTAATCTAGTAAAGTTTGTGGTGTTTGAATACCCTCCGAATACGCAGTGCTATCACAAATGGAAGTGCAAGAAATCAAAGGGCCTTTCTTTGTTATTCAAGTAGTTTTTAGTTTTGAATATGTTTTGCCATCAATGAACGCCTCTAGGCGACTTGAAGAGAGGGCACTCTGTATGACTAATTCAGGTCATACTTTACATCTGAATGTCGCCCGTGAAATTACTCTCCCATTAGTTTCTGTGAGCTGGCATTTAAATGCAGTAATGAAAAAAAAAAAAACACCTTTTGGCACTATTCTGTAGATAAAACCGGTTAGGAGTCCATATTACTGTTTTATACCAGACCGAGAGCTGATGTGATTATGTTCAAGTAGTCTCTAAATGCTATTCAAGGGTTCACCGCTGTGTGAATTGAGGCGTTGCTATTTCTGAACAAAAAAGTTTTTTGGTAATGACCTTTTCCGAGAAATATTTTCTTCAACTAGTTTTGGAGCCTAAAACAAAACTTCACTAGCACGTCTGCCTACCGTAACAGCCAAGTTTAAATAACTCCTAGTGTCCATCCAAGTGCTCATAAATTCGTTTGTTCTGCATAACGAAAGAAATGATATTTAACTAAGAAAACTGACAGGAAGGAAACGATTAGTGAGCCACTCTTGGCGCGATCGAGGTGAGAGAGATCAGGTGGCAGTACTATCGCTACATATGGATGTGCACGCCCGATGGTCTTCGGTACATCCATCCCTCCATTATCACTTTTTCGTTCATGTCCCAATTGTTGAGACACCTCCACCGTGATTAAGTAATTTCATCCTATTAAGACATTATGGGATTGTCCGAGATTTTTGATATTTTTTGGCCCCAGTTTTATGCTTAAGTAAAGCCAATGGGAACAAAAATTTTTCACGTGACTTCGAAAATAATGATGACAAAGTCATTGCGATTGAAGGGTTCTGCATATTCAAATGAAACTTCTAAAATTGTGGCCACGCAAAACTAGACAGCGTCTCGGACAGCCTCTACCCCCCTGGTCTGGAAGGCTATTGTGGCGGTGGGGGTGAGGGAGTGTCCACACAGTTTAACGCCACAAGTGTTTGCGAGGCATGTCTGAGTCTGCATTCTGACACACCAATATTCTGCTTGTACGTTCAGATGGGAACTGGAATGAAGGTCTAATTTTAAGACTTTTAAGTCATGGCATCGCCATTCCATCTTGCTAAGCCCAAAAATTCCTCGCTTTCTTCATCCGGCATTAGTAAAATGTGGACAACCGGGGGTCAGATTTGAGGCGATGTCTCTTTTCGAAAATCTATCAGAAGTCTAATGCTCAACTTGTCCTCTTACGTCATACCTACTCAGCTAAGCTGCCAGTCAGTTCTCTAAAGCTTCAATAACGAACAAAAGGCCGACTAGTCTATTAAAATAAAGCTTGAAATGTAGCATGAATAGATGGATTGTCTGCTCCTGAGACTACTTTTAAATCTACCGATCGCAACACCATAGACCCACTTTTATCCATCTGCTCAGCAGTTTCAGACCTTTATCATTTTCAAACCAAAGTGGATTTTAGTATAGAATAACAGTCTAAAAATTCCCGAAAATTCGGAAGTAGTACTTGTGACTACTTATTTAACTGTACCTATTAACCTCTAGGAGTATAGACTTCAAAGCTGAGTTTACGCATTCACACTGCCTTGAAAGAAATCGAGGCGTTGCCATGGTACCGCCCTAAACACTGTTTTGCGGACAAGTTTGCAGCCTACGAGGCGGTATATTTTTTGGGTTCTACGCATCCTTATGTGAATCACGAAGAGTAATCCACTCTAGAAATGCTAATAACAATCAAACTTGTGCATATACATATCGTCTGGCTAGCTTGAGGGTATTTAAGTCGGCGGCACACTTAATTATTAGTCACTTGTACCCACTATCCACACTACCACCACAGGCGATAATTAGAACGAGACGAAACTGGAGGCCCCCACCCACCCACTCTCACCTTGCCAGAAAATGCGGTTGATGAAGTGACTCTATGACCACACACACTGGGCGTGCAGTAGGCTAAGAAATAGATGAAGTTTAAAGGAGAGACCCGGCCTCCCGATACAGGTCCTGGAAACGGCTGAAAACCATGAACTCGAGGAAGTTAGAAGATACGCCTCTCAATGCTCACACCATCTGGAAAAGTGGTACAATCAGCGGGCGGTTCACACACACATTACTTCGTCCGTAGAACACTTCATAATGAAATGGTGTAGTGAGGCCACTCTTAGCTTGACCACTGAGAACTGTGTGTTTAGAAGGATGTTCGAGAACTGCGTTGAAATCGACTGGAAGATGAACGAATTAGGTATTTCACTTCAAAGGCATTATTAGGTAATCGAAAGGAGCAGTGATAAATGGAGTCTGATCCGACTTCTCCTCCGGCGAAGGAGAAGTATAGTGCAAAACTCACCCCACCAGACCCATATTTTTTTTTCAACTAGCAGGTCTGATAACCTTTGGTAGGCGAGTGCCTCAATCCATCATTGCCCTTCACACACACACACACCACCGCTGGGAACACACATGCACGCGGAGGTAAGCGCCGTCTTTTGCTGCTGGCCTGCCTGACTGCGTGTGTGTTGAACGAAGGGACGGCCGCCAACTGACATGGCAATAACCCGATGGCGGCTGTACAGTCTGTTTTTATTGCCACTTCAAATTTGGCGTGTGAACGTGTCCCGACCCCCTGTTTTCTAAACACTAGAGCGAGCGAGCTAGCATTAATCATTGTTTTGTTGCCCTGGTCTACCGGAGATGGCGAGAAGGAATAGGAGAATGCGTGGGTGCAGGAGCTCTCCATCCAAATATCATTTCTGTCCACACATCAGTGGGTCACGGATATTTTCTTCGAGGACATTTCCAGTGGGGATCGCATTTAGGTTTAAGGTCAGTGGAGGCTTTATTGAAACCTGACATGGCCCATACATCAACGGAAAGCGATTGCGAATGCTTCGACTGGAATTGCGGTTTCAGAAGGCTTCCACAGCTTTTGTGCTTCTAGTTCCTAATTCACTCCTGAGACTGAAGGAAGCGATTTTTCACCTAGGCAAATTAAAACCGAAAACCGAAATTTGGTATGAAGGTTTTGAAGCGTTTACTACCATCTTTTGATATCGAAATTCTTACAACGGATCATAGTTGCAGCGCTAATATATGGAATAATCTGAGGATTGGTGAAAAAAATGGAATGTCAAACATTTTAGCATTGTTTACGCCTAAAAGCAGATTTGTTTTAAATTTATTTTAAACATTATACGGCCATCACTGCTGAAGAGAAGTCCCTTCAGCTCCTTAGTTCTGCGAGGAATAGTCTTCAGTTAAAATTTGGCTTTTAATTGATAACGAAAATATGAAAAGTGTCGACAGTCATCTGCCACCAGCAACCACAAAGCATGCGGTAGTTTCCAAGGTAATCGATTGACTATGTGGGATCATCAAGTCTTAAGATAAACTCAAGTCTTCGAAACTTGAATAACTTTTCAATGTTATTCAATATGCCTACCAAGCTTGTTTCATAGTTGTCAAATCAAATGGCTTTTTACAATGACATGAATAACCGATTGAAATACTTAAATTAATGGTAGTTAAACCAATCTCTCCTCTTCCCAGAAGTATTTTCCTTCCCTCTGAAAGCTACATTAACTTCGCACTTCAAAATGCACTGTTGAGTAAATCTAAAACACATTTTTTGATGCTCTCGAGTTGAATTCTTACGTGGCAACCACTTCACCTATACGGAGATTTGCGGAACTAGCTATCCCAATGGAAGTATTGGGAAGTGCTTACACTTCTGGGGGTCTAGAACCCTTCCTAACAGTCATATAACTCTGAATTTAAATGCCTAACATTACTATGCCTCGTGAATATGGAGAGCTAGCAATGGTAGTCCTTTATTTATTTACATCGTTTGCCACGAACGCCTACTTCACCAAAAGCCGACATTTTTTAATATATTAAGGCTTTAGGTATGCTATGATTGATGTTGATGTTACTGATTTTTAAACCAATTTGCGGGTATCGGGTTCAATAAGTTTGAAGTGTTCAGCACATCTCTTTCAACCAAAATGGAATGGAATTTTCGCCAATTATTACTCTGTTGTTAAGGTCATAAGCCAATTTAAACAACCGGTCAAAGGAAACCATTTCTAAATATATTCCTTATTTTACAACAAATGTGTGATTATAAAACCAAAGAACCCCTACGTAGCAGAGGCTAGTAGATGATTAAATTGGGAACTTTCGTTTCAAAACTGTCAATGGCAAGGAAACATGGTGAAGATGCACTTCTCCAAGGCAATTAGCCTATTTG